CCCCCCCCCCTCCCCCTCTCCCACACCGCAGGACATCCGTGTCCTCGTCGTCAAGCTCACTGACCGGACACACAACATGCGAACCCTCCGCTACGTCGGCTCTCACTCGTCGCGACGGCTCAAGGAGCGCAGCCTCTCCTCAGATCTCCCCAGATCTCCCCAGATCTCCCCAGATCTCCCCAGATCTCCCAAGGAGCGCAGCCTCTCCTCCCGACCGCCGCGGGCGGAGGAGACGAGGCGGATCGGAAGCCTTCTTCTGATTGCGTCACGGCTTTCTCTCCTGTCTCGCAGGCGGAGGAGACGATGGGCATCTTCGCGCCGCTCGCGCTCCGCATCGGCATGTACACCGTCGCTGCCGAGCTCGAGACGCTCGCCCTCGCGGAGCTGCACCCGGAGGCGGCGGAGAGAGTGGCGGCGCAGCAGCGCGCGCACATCGCCTCGCCCGAGCTGGCGCAGGTGCCGCTGCCCCGGGCCGCGCTCCGGCTCTGCCTCGAGGACACGTCCAGAGGACACGTCCAGCAGCTGTCCATGACACGTCCATGACGCGTCCCGCAGGTGCTACGCGAGCTTCGCGCCGCCCTCGCGCAGAACGAGGGCAGCGGCGGGGGCTCGGCGGGCGGCGGCGGGGCGGCGGGCGAGGGCGGGGCGGCGGGCGGCGGCGGGGCGGCGGGCGAGGGCGGGGCGCTGCTGCGAGCGATCCACGTGCGGCGCGCCTCTGCGTACCGCGTGTGGCGGCGGCAGCAGGCGCAGCTCCGGGAGCGGGAGGGGGAGGGCGGCGGGGCCGCGCAGCGGGAGGCGCACGACGAGGAGGAGGAGGACGCGCCGGCGGGCGTGGCGGAGACGGCGCGCGTGGTTGCGGCAGGCAGGAGGGGCGAGGGGCGGGGCGCGCTTGCTCTCGACCTGCTTTCTCTCGGCGACTGGCTGCAGCGTGCTCGCCTGCTTCGAAGCTTCGCTGGACCTTCCTGGAACCGTCCGGTAGGCGATTGCTTGCGGCTCGTGCTCGTCTGCGCGACGCCGCTCGGGTGCTACGAGGTGCAGCGCCCCCTTCTCCTTCCCTTCGTCCTCCCTGCCCTGGCCGCTCCTCTCACCCTGCCCCTCCCTGCCCTCGCCCTCTAACCTCCCTCCCTCCTCTGCAGGCGCTCGGCCTCGTGCACCAGCGGTGGCGCTCGCTCGGCGGCTTCAAAGACTACATCTCGACGCCAAAGCCAAACCACTACCAGTCCCTCCACACCACCGTCCTTGGCGCGCTCTCGTCCCCCCCCCCCCCCAACCCCGCCACCCGAGCCCCCGCGCCCCTACCCCCCTCGCTACCCCCACCCCCTCCACTGCCCCACCCCCCTCTGCCCCCGCGCACAGGCCCTGGCGGAGTCCTCCTCCACCTCCTCTTCCGCACGCCAGAGATGCACCAGGTCGCCGAGCAGGGCATCGTCGCTCACTGGCGGCAGCAGGCGCGCGGGCCGGCGCCGACGCTGCCGCGCTGCGGCAACCGCTACGGCTGGCTCCGCTCGCTGCAAGACATCTCTGACGCGTCGGAGGCAGCTGACGATTCGATCGAGGCGGCTCCCGGGACACGTCCCCGACGCGTCCATGGCGCGCCCCTCAGGTTGCCGACGAGTTCATCGAGGCTGCGCAGATGGAGCTGCTCGCCGACCAGATCTTTTGCTTCACGCCAAAGGGAGACATCGTGCCCTTGCCGCGCGGCTCCTCCCCGCTCGACCTCGCCTACGCCGTCCACTCGTCGATCGGCAACCGCTGCGCCGGCGCGCGCGTCAACGGGCGGCTGCAGAGCATCCACGCCGTGCTTCGCAACGGAGACCGCGTCGAGGTCCTCGTCTCGAGCCAGGTGGAGCCGCAGCAGTCCTGGCTCGCGCTCGTCGCCTCCGGCCGCGCGCGCGCCGAGCTGCGCCGATTCTTCAACGCTAAGCGCCGCGCCGTCAGAGCCGGGGGAGGGGATATCCGCCTCCCTGCCCTCGCTGCCTTGCCGCCGCCGCCGCCGCCGCCCTCCACGGTCCGTGCGACCGCGCCCGCCCCGCCGGCCGCCCCGCCGTTGCCCCGCCCGAAGCGGCGTCGCCGCGTCGTCTCAGCGGGCGGCATGGCGGCGAACGGCTCGGTTGCGTCTGTGCAGAGCAGCAGAACGGCCGCAGCGGCGGCGGCGGGGAAGGATGGGAGGGCTGCTGGCGACGCGGCGGGCGGTCCGCGGCTGCAGCTGGCGAAGTGCTGCCGGCCAGTGCCGGGCGACCCGATCGCGGGCGTGTTGCGAGGCGGCGGCCCACGCCCGACGCTCTGCGTGCACCGCGAGGGCTGCCGCGCGCTGCAGCCGCCGCCTCGCGAGGGCTCGCAGGCGGGGCCGCAGGCGGGGCTGCAGGCGGGGCTGCAGGCGGGCGGCGAGGAGGACGAGCGGCGCGTGGCGGTCCGCTGGGGGGGGCAGTGGGCCAAGCTGTTTGGCTCGCGGTACGAGGCGCGGCTCAAGCTGCGTGTCGACGACGCGCCAGACACACTCGCCGCCATCGCCGCGGAGGCAGCGCGCACCGGCGCCACGCTCTCGTCCTTCCGCGTGCTGAGCAGAGGGCGCAAGGCGGGGATGGCGCGCGCAACCGCGCACGTCGAGGTGACGGACCTCGCGCAGCTCCTTGAGCTCATGCGCGCGCTGCGCACGTTGTCGGCGGTGCGTTCTGTCGAACGTGGCTGACGACACGAACAATTAGCTGCAGCCCATGAGCCATGTCGATGCCATGTGTGCTGATTTGTGATTAGGTCCGCCGCGCCCCGTTGTGTTAGACTAGAGAGAGTGATGTCTTTAGTGCAAATAAATAGCCGCAGGAATTAGCGCACGTTGTCGGCCACATTTGAGAAGGGGTGCTCTCGAGACGGTCGACGCGCAAGTGCGGCAGAGGACGAGCGCTCGCGTCACAAGGCGTAAATGGAGGCCGCTTCTCTGGCGGACACGACGTAGGGGCGGGTACATCCGTGGCATGCGAGCGCCGCCGCGCTACTTTGAGAGCGTGCCCTTGGAGGAGGCGACTTTGCCGCGCCGGCGCGGGTCGAGCCGGATCGCGACACCGAGGGCGGCGCCGTAGGCTCGGGCGGCGGCGAGCGCGAGGTCGAGCGTGTGGCCGGGCGCGCAACTGTCCTCGCGCAGCTCGAGGTGGACGCTCGCGCGCGCCTCCATCGTGAGCGAGAGGAATACGTGGTGCAGCATCTCGCACGAGAGGAGAGTGCCGCACAACGGCATAGCGTCACCGCAAGCGTCGCCGCCGCAAGGCGAGCCGTCGCCGCCACCGCCGCCAACGTACTCTTCGTCCAGGGGCAGATCCGACTCGAAGTGAGGCCGATTGGACAGGTCGAGGACCGCACGCACACGCGCGCCGCCGCCGCCGCCGCCGCAGCCACCGCCGCCGCCATTGCCGCCCCCGCCGCCACTGCTGCCGCTTCCGCTGCTGGCGCCGGCGCCGGCCGACGTGCCTTCGGCGCAGCCCATGCGCGCGAGCCCCGCCTTGTCTCCGAGCGCCTCGTGCAGGCACTGCCCCACCGTGATGGCCACGTCCTCCGCCGTGTGGTGGTCGTCGATGTGCCGGTCGCCGTCGCACCAGACGACCAGCTCGAAGCCGCCCGCGCGGCTCAGCTCGCTCAGCACGCGGTCGAGCGCCGCGACGCCCGTCGACACGCGCGGCGTGCGCTCGGTCGCCGCCCGGAGCGTGCTCGGCGTCGCCGCCTCGCCGCTCCCCCACACCGACCCAGCTCCGCGCGGAGGGTCCTCTGCCGCCCAGCCCTTGTCGAGGTCGAGCCGCACCTCGATCGCCGTCTCCTTGGTCGCGCGCCGCCGCTCGGCACGCCGGGGCTCCGCGGGCGGCGGCGGCGGCGGCGGCAGCGGCGGCGGCGGCGCGGCGGCGCCTGCGCCAGCCTCGGACTGCCCCTGCTCTCCGAACGTGGCGCAGCCAGGCACGCCCGCCCCGCCTCCGGGGTCGGACACGGAGTCGAGCGCCGCGCGAAAGACGCGCGCAAAGGACTTGAAGGCGGACTCGAGCTGGTGGTGCGCGTTGCCGCCGCGGACCCTGCGCAGCGACAAGTCGCACCCCAGCCCGCCGGCGAGCGCCGACCAGAAGACGGGCGTCAGCTCGGTCCGGAACCGCCCTATCCACCTCCTGCCCGCCCCGTCGCCTCCGCGCGATGCGTGCGCCCCGTACGGCGCCAGGCTGACGAGGCAGCGGCCGCACGAGGCGGCCGGCGGGTGCAGGGTGAGCTTCGCCTCGGCGAAGGCCTCGTCGAGCGGGGCGCAGAAGACCGCCATGCCGCGAGCCGCCGAGCCAGCCGCGCCCTCCACCTCTTTGACGACGGCGCGGAGGGCGAGGCCGAGCGCGGTGCCACACGCGACGGCGATGTCGCGATCGTGCGGCCTCTGGCCGCCGAGCTCCCGGGCGTAATCCTCTAGCGGCGCGAAGAACCGAGGCGCGCTCTCGCCCTCTCCCACGAGGCCGCACCGGAGCGTGACGCCGAGCATTGCGTGCGACGTGAGCTGATCGACCATGTGGTCGAGGAAGCAGATGCCGGTCGCGACCTTGCTCGGCGGCAAGAGGTTGAGCACCGTCGCCTCGGCGACGACTGCGCCGGAGCTTGCAGTCGACATCGGAGCTCGAAGGTAAAATTTCTCTTTCGTGGAAGACGAAAGAACGAGACAATGGTCCGAGGTGGGGTGGGGGGTGGAGGTGGACGACGTCGTCGCGAACGAGTGGCCGAGGACCCCGTGGCCACACAATGTTCTGGTCACGGTTGATGAACACGGGCAGGGTGCCCTCACGAGAGTGTACACAAGTCGATCAAGCAAGAAGGCGGTGGCCACGGCAGAGGCGGGCGGACGGGTAGTGATCGTTTGAGCGCGGAGGGTCAGAGCCGGAGGGTGGCTGGCTCTATGTAGGACTGCAAAGGATCAAAACACTCGGCTTCACGCAAACGCTCGCAAGGGACGTAGGACCGTGACAAGATTGAGCACAAGGAAGGAAGCTCGAGTATTGACATTGGGGGCACGGCGCAGGATGCGCCGTGCTAGTACACTGTGTGTGGTATGTAGTGTGTGGAGGGTGGCACAGGCGTCCGAATTCAGACGCCCCCCCCAGGACCGATGCTGAAGGCGTCGGGGATGTACCGTAGATCGCGACGCCTGTGCGGGCAAGGCCGAAGGCGGCACGAGGAGGGAGTAGTTGACATTCGAGAGTCGCCCTTGACGGAGGCGAGGCGCAGCGCGGAGCCGGAGAAGGCGCGGGCGCAGGGGCGCAGGCCGGAGACGGCGCGGGCGCGAGGGCGCAGGCCGAGGTCGCCCTTGACGGAGGCGAGGCGCGGCGCGGAGCCGGAGAAGGCGCGGGCGCAGGGGCGCAGGCCGGAGACGGCGCGGGCGCGAGGGCGCAAGCCGAGGTCGCCCTTGACGGAGGCGAGGCGCGGCGCGGAGCCGGAGAAGGCGCGGGCGCGAGGGCGCAGGCCGAGGTCGCCCTTGACGGAGGCGAGGCGTGGCGCGGAGCCGGAGGTAAAGCTATGAAAGCTGAAGTGTGAAGCACTGGCTGTGCGATGTGAGTTGTCACTCTCGATGACGGAAGCGAGACTCGAGTACTCGACGGTGACGGCGGCGGCGACGGCGCTAGTGGCGGAGGCGCTGGCGGAGAGCTCGGCTACGATTCGGTTGGGCCAGGTACCAATTTTGTCGAATTTATTTCAAAATCTGCAGGCGCGGAGCGCCTGCGATGCCAATCCTTCACGGCGACTTCACGTCGGAACGAGTCGGATCGACGACTCCCCGCCTGCACCAGCGTGTGCGCCTTGCTCGACGGTACAGCCGACGGCGACAGCTCTGGCGGCAGAGGCGCTGGCCGATCGCTTGGCTCGCCGATTCTCGCTGCAACCTTCATGCCACCTCGCGGTCGTCCCACAAACAAACGTTAGAGTTGTTTGGAATTGAAAATCTCTCTCTCGTCCCACTCTCGTCGTGCTCTCCCTCCCTGTCGGCTAACCTCGAAATCTGCACCTTGGATGGCTGCGCTCCCTGTTTCACAGCCATCCGTGCTAAGGATGGCTGGCATGCCTAGCTAGATCTCAGCCATACACTCCTACCCGATGGCTGGGATACAGGCATGCCAGCCATCCTTAACACGCATGGCTGCAATTGCAGGATCCAATCCAGCCACTCCGCCCTACCAGCACACGCCATTTTGGCTGCCATCCAGCCAGTGCAGCCATCCTCCGGCCGATGGCTGCGGTGGCTGTGTCCCGGCCATCCGCCCGGCCGCATGATGGCTGAGAGATAACGACGCCAGCCATCCAGAACAAGGGTGTGGTGGCTCGCGGAGCGAGAGCAAAGCCACCTGCGCTCGTGTCGGGGGCGTCGAGAAGGCCGGGTCGAATTCGACAGCCATCCTCCGGCCGATGGCTGCGACGGCTGTTGCCAGCCATCATGCGGCCGGGCGGATGGCCGGGACACAGCCATCGCAGCCATCGGCCGGAGCGCGGAGGATGGCTGCACTGGCTGGATGGCAGCCAAAATGGCGTGTGCTGGTAGGGCGGAGTGGCTAGGATCCTGCAATTGCGGATGGCTGGCATGCCTGTATCCCAGCCATCGGGTAGGAGTGTATGGCTGAGATCTAGGCATGCCAGCCATCCTTAGCACGGATGGCTCGAGGTTCTCGAGGTGGATATCCTTTGGCCGCGTTGGGTAGCGAGTATTGGCTGTGAAACAGGGAGCGCAGCCATCCAAGGTGCAGATTTCGAGGTTAGCCCTCCCTGTCGTTTCCTCCTCTGTCGTCACGTCGCTCTCTCTCGTCTGCCTCGTTCTGCGACGGTGCCGCCGCCTGCCGCTCCCTTGCTCTCGCTGCTCGGCGCAGCTCTGCCCTCCTCGCTGCATATTTTGGCCCCGCGAGTTTATTTATCGGGGTTGTGCGGCAAACCCAAACGAGGCTCGAGGGATGGGGGAGGAGGACAGGGTCCACACCTGCACGAGCAGGATTTTGGAAGGACGATCAGGGGCACAGGTGGGGCTCTCCTGCTCCCTGACGGGTTGTGCGTAAAAACTCTAAAAGAAAGAAAACAGACAACCCAAACGAGGGATAGGGGAGGAGGACAGGGTCAGATGCGTGGCGCGGCCTCGCGAAATTCTTTCCCAGACGTGGGTTCCGAGAACGGCCTCGGCGCCATGTCGACAGTGCGGGCTTCCCGGGGGCTCTTCGAGCGCGCACTGCTGGCGCTGCCCGTCGGCGAGAACGCGCGCGTCTTTCTGGGCGTCTGCACGGTCGTCGGAGTCGCCGGCGCGTTCACGGCATCGAGTACGCTTTTCTCGCCTCTGCCGTCCGCCCACGCACCGCGCTCCCGATGCTGAGCCCGCCGCCCTCCCTTGACAGAGCGTGGGGTGGGGTACGACTCGATGGCTGACAAACGCGCCGCGGAGGAGAAGGTGAAGAAGGAGGGGAGCTAGTGCACGACAACCAGTGGAGATGTGCTGTGGAGCTGCGCTTGCCCGTTTGTGCGCGATCACGCGGGCCGGAGCATTGCGTGGGGGTGGCTACAATGAGAGCTTGATGTACGTGTCGGCAGGCCCGGGTGGAGGGCATGCTTTCTGATGTGTGATTTCACAACACGATAACATTGTTATGTGTACTTCCCGCATCCGGTGTATGTCATGCATCTCCCATCATCTCGATGTATTTGTTACACACGCGCGGGACGCGCGAGCAGCCATGACAAAGTCTCAACTGCGGCGCTGCCTCTTTTTGTCCTCCTCCTCGTCCAACGCGTTGTTGCTGGTGCTGGTGATGGCGTTCACCGCCGCGGCACCAGTGGAACTGGAAGGGGGCGGCGGCGCCCGCGGCAGAGCACCAAAGCCCAGAGCCAAATCTCCGCCCGGCGGCCGCCAGCGGCTATCCCGCGACGCGGTGCTGGCGTCGACCCGCCGGGGACTGGGAGCGGCAGCCGGAGGAACCGATACGGGTCGGCACCAGCGCTGTGCCCCAGCAGCCTCGGCGGCCGAAGCCTCGGCGGCCGCGGCGGAGGAGGCCGCGGCGGAGGAGGCCGCGGCGGAGGAGGCCGCGGCGGAGGAGGCCGCGGCGGAGGAGGCCGCGGCGGAGGAGGCCGCGGCGGAGGAGGCCGCGGGGGCGGAGGCCGCGACGTCGCCCTCGTCCGCCTCGACGCGGTGCTTGCAGATCGGGCAGACGCCGCTCTCTGCGAGCCAGCGCGCGGCGCAGTGCGCGTGGAAGATGTGAAAACAAGGCAGCGTCATCACCTGCTCGCCGACGCAGAAAGGCTCGAGGCAGACGAGGCACGAGGCGTCCTCGCTGCTGCTGGCGCCGCCCTTCCTCGGCTCGTACGCGCGGGTCGGAAGCCTCGCGACCACGCCGCGCGAGGCTGGCGTCGGAGCATCACGCGGGCGGCCAGCCCTCAGCAGGCCGGCCATCACGGGCGCGAGGACGGCGTCGCGGAAGCCCGGGTCCTCCGCGAGCCGAGCCGCCTGCTGCATCGCCCATGACATCGGGCTCGACTCGGGCGGCGGCCTCGATCGCAGCATCGCCATGAAGCGCTCCCGCCGGCACTCGGGGCAGTTGCACGGCTCCTCCTCCTCCTCGCTGCCCTCGCCGCCATCCGAGCCCTCCCCGCCGCTCTCCCCGCCGTACGAGTCCGTGCTCTCCTCCTCGCTCTCCTCCTCGCTCTCCTCCTCGCTCTCGCTCTCCTCGTCGCTCTCCTCCTCGCTCACGCTCTCCTCCCCCCACCGCTCCGCGCGCGCGACGCAGCACTCTGGGCAGTCGCAAGGCCCCCCCCCCCCCTCCCCCTCCCCCTCGGAGGCGCCCCCCCTGCCCGAACCGGCCGCTCCCCGCCTCTCCACCTCGACCTCAATCTCCTCCTCCGACTCCGCCTCGCTGCTGCCCAAATCGCTCACTGCCGACGAAACGTCGCTCTCCGACCCTCCGCCTATCGGACATGTGCATGCACAGGTCTCCGACATGAGGTGGATGTGTCCTGAACATGACGGACGTCGCTCTCCGCGCCTTCGCCGTCCGCCGCCAGCACGCCATACGGCACCTGCAGCAGCGCCACAGCGCGCGACTGCCGCGGCCCCTCTTCTTGGCCAGCGAGGGCGGTGGAAGGGGCCACGAGGGCGAGCCGCTCCGGCGGCACGGCGAGCCGTCGGTGCGCGCCGCCCTCTTCCTCCACGAGCCACGCGCCCGCCGCCTCGGCCCACGAGCGCAGCCGCACCCGCTGCCCTTCCGACGGCGCCGGCGCCGCTTGCCGCTGCGACACGGTCGGCGGCAGCACGATCGCGGACCAGCGACCGCCGCCGGCGGACGCCGGTCGCATCTCCCCGGCGCGGGCGAGGAGCGGGCGGAGGCTGCTGGCCAGCAGGTCGGCCGCCAGCGGCTCCGCCCTGCGACGCGATTCGGTGCGGCTGAGGAGGCGGCGCGTGTGCCAGAGCCTCGGACCCCCTGGCTCGGTCGGCTCCCGCCGCATGCCCGTGAGGCAGACGAGCGACCCGAGCAAGTCGGGCTGCGGAGAAGAGCCGACGCGGCAGAGCATCCCCACGACGAGGCTTCGCCCAGCGGGCCCGCAGCTGCGAAGCAAGCCGGGCGCGCTGCGCGCCTCGCGCCGCTCCCGCCGCGCCGCCCGCCGCGCAGCTGCAACCTGCTCCGCGGCAGCGTCGTCCGCGAGGAGGGCGAGGTTGTGCGGCCGCACCGCCAGCGGCAGCGGCGCCGCCCCGCCGCCGCCGCAGAAGAGCCACACCGGGTACCGGCCGCCGTTCCGGGTGCCGTCGACGACGCCGCAGCAGCCGTTCAGCTCCGGCCGGCCGGCGAGACCTCGCAGCGCGACGGCGCGGCCGGGCGGCAGCAGCACCGCGTCGGTGAGCCAGCGCATGGCGCACGAGCGCGCCGCCTCCGAGCAGCAGCTCGCCAGCTCATCGGAGAGCGAGTCGCAGCTCGGCACGCCAGAGGTGTGGCCAGCGGTGTGGCCGCCAGAGGTGTGGCCGCCGCCGCCGCCGCTCCCCGCAGGCAGCGCCTCGACGAGCGCGTCAAAGGCTGCCTCCACCTCGGCAGCTGCCGCCTCCGCCCTCGGCCCTCCACCCTCCGAGAGCGGGCCCGGCGGCACGGCGCGGAAGGCGCCCATCGCAGCCCGCAAGTCCGCCGCTTGCGCGCGCATCGCCGCGACGTACTCCCCTGGGCCGCCGCCCACGCCGTTGCCGCAGCTGGCAGAGAGAGGCTGCCAGGCGGCGGCGAGCGGTCGCCCCTCGCCGGGAGAGCGCTGGATGATGCGCAGCGCAGACTCGAGCCGCGACGGGTCGGCGCACACCCAGCGCCGCTGCACCATGTCCCACCGCGTGTGGCACGCGCCCGGCGAAGTGAGCAGCCACAGCACGCGCGGCTGTGCCGAGGCGAGGCGGACGAGGAGGGAGAGAGCGAGGCCAGGCAACCGCATCAGCCGCCGGTCCTCGTCGTGCCTGCACACGAGCTCGACCAGCCGGCAGACGAGAGACGGAAAGTGGGGCGACGCACACAGCAGGCGCGTCGCCCCCGCGCCGCCGTTGGACGTGCCGTCCGCGACGAGAGCCAGCAGCGAGAGCGCGTGGTGCGTCAGCAGCACGTAGCATGCGCCCGACTGGGGAGGGGAGAGCCGCTCGCCGCCGCCGCCACCTTCGACCGCTGAGGCGGCCCCGGCGGCGCCGTCCGGGTCGTCCCAGTCGCCAGTGAAGCGCCACCGCAGCCTCGGGTGGCCGTGCACCTCGCCGAGCCCTCCGGGCAGCCCTCCCGTGGTCAGAGTCCCGTCGGAGAGGCGCGGCGTGTGCGCGAGAAGCGCGCAGAGGGACGAGCAGGAGGCGGGCTGGGAGAGGAGCGCGCGCCGCGCCATGGACATGGCGCTGGACGGCTCCAGCGCCGCCGCCGATGGCGGCGACAGGAAGGAGAGGGGAGAGCGGGGTTTTGCGAATGACGAGAGCCCACACACGCCAACCACCAGCCGAGCCAACGGCGGCGGCAAGCCGAGCGGCGTGAGGCACCTCTGCTCGCCTTCGGGCACGCGCCGCCGGGCGCACCGCGAGAGTCTGGACACGAACTCGCTCACTGGCAGCGGCAGCGGCATTTCGGCGCAGCAGATCAGACTGACGAAATCTGCGGGCCGCGGAGCCGACGGCCACGAAGGATGCGCCGCCGGGCGCAGCACGGCGGCACTCGCCCGGACGAAGCGCGCCTCGTCCGAGGGCGAGTAGACGAGCCGTCCGTCGTCGAGACGGACCTGATACGCAGCAAACATGCCGCGCGCGAAGCCTTCCTCACGATAGAAGATGGACGCGATGACGCCCGGCTGCCAGCGGTCCTCGAAGGAGCGCGTGCAAATGCAGCACTCCACCCGATCGCCCGGGCCGAATCGGAGGCGCGTGCCTGCCGGAACCATGATGCCTGCCGAAGTCGATCCGGCGACGAGCGCTTGGTGGACTTTGGTGGACTGACTGGCGCCTGGCGAAGAAAAGAATTTTACAATGGTCCCACGACACCGGGTACGGGACTGGCACTGCAAAGGCGACGGCTTAGAAGCCGTCGCCCTCACAGATGCCGTCCTCCTCACAGAAGGCGTCGTCGGAATGGTAGTCAGGCGGATGGTCGAATCCGCGAGCACCGTGGTGCTCGCCGAGAGGACCATCCCCATCATCCTCCGACTCCATCCCCTCCCCCCCCCGTCGCTCCCGCCGCGCCCCCCGCCGGCGCCCGTCGCGGGACTTCCTGCCCCCCCCGCCAGCGCCGCGGGCCGGGCCGCTCCGCAACTCCTCCAGGTCCCCCTCAAAGAGGAGGACCCGTCCCTCCCTCACCCAATCCTCCCTGCTCCCACCGTCCCCGGGAATGGGACACCGCAAACAGAACCGCGCCCAGCGTCCCAGCAGAAAGAACCACGCCTCACTGCTTTTCGCTGCGCATGCTCTGTGCGTGTGATGCACGCCCTGTGAGCGGGGCGGGGTGCGCACTGTTGGCTCGTGCCACACGCTGATGATTGCCTGCCTCGCGCCGTCGGACGCCGCGGCCGACGAGAACGCGCCCCGCAATAGATGGATGAATCGTACCACACGCGCACTGCAACACGATATTCGCCAATTCGGCGAGCCGATCCGCTAGTGCCTCTTCACATGGCGCCCACTCGATCGCAGGCATCGACGCTAGCATACGCCGCTCGCGCACGCGCAATCACAAACGCGCCGCTCGTCAACACCGACCCACGCGCGGCAGCGGTTGCAAGGCTACAGCGGGAGGTGGCATCGCTGCGGGGCGAGGTGGCGCGGCTTGTGAAGCTAGTGAGACTCGGCGGCGGTGATCCCGGCGTCCCGCTTGTCGCCTCGACGCGGGCTGCACAAGATCCGCTGGCTAAGCCGTCACCTTGCGGGTCGGCCGCGCAGAGGGGCGGGGACAGGGACGATCGTAGTGCGGGCCCACGCCCTTTCTACCTGTCGCCCTCCATTGAACCGGGCCAGGAGGTGGCTTGTGACGGGATGGCGGCGGACGCGGCAGAAGCGGTGCAAGCGGGGCTCGAGATCGCCCGACAGCTCGCCGACACAAACGGCCGTTTGCGTACCGCCTTTGACGCGCTCGATGCTGACTGCAACGAGGCGCATCTCTGTGCTTTCACTCGCCATCCGCCCTCAACTTCGCTCCGATACGTCCCGTGCCTTTGAAGGTGCGTAGAGCTCATGCAACATTGATGACGGAAAACGACGAGCTGCGCGAACGCCTCTCGCTCTTCGAGCTTTCCCTCGCGATGGAGTCGTATGCTGTCGCTCCACCGGATTCGCTGACGGCCCAGATCCAAACGCAGCTACGTGCGGCTGCGCTCGAGGTCTGGCCATCGGTCGCTGCGGCAGCTCATCGTGCGGTGCCGTGAGCACCTATTTTCTCATCACTAGGCGATCAAGCTTCGCCAAGAGAATGCTGAACTGCACGACCATCTCGCTCGAACCCCGGGGGCCGTTCAAACGCCGCGTGCCGTGGCACCTCAAACCATGGCCAGACGACAGCGCTCGAATGCGACGCGAAATGCTCCGACCGGGAAGTGTCGATCTCCGGCAGCAGCGCCGGTGCCCGCGGCCCTCGCGCTTCCTGTTGCCGACGCGCCTGCACGGCACGTCCTCTCAACCACGGGCAGCATGCACCAAACGATGCGGGCGCCGATGAGTGCGGGGCCATATCTGGAGGCGCACGGGGTGATGAGCAGCTGTGGAAGCTCGCGCACACCCTCCACTCTCGAGGAGCTAGATGAGCTCTCGGCGCGTCATCGTTTTGTTTTGTCCTTGAGGCACCGCCCAGCGTTTGCGCCCTTCTACCCGCTATGCGAAACTTCTTGTAGGTGCTGCTTCGCAAGAAGGCTGCCCTGAAAGCCGCCGAGCGCCCAGCGACCGCAACTGTGGGGGCGAAGTCGTTCGGCCCGTGAGGTGACGCCCACGCCCTGACCAGCGGGGTGAGCCGTGGACCCCGGCGTTGCGCGAGGTATGTACGCGGGGGGTTCGGTCCCTCGGCGCCGCGCTCTCAGTGGGAATGGGAGCCGATCTCTCGTCACACCGCAAGGGCTGGCGCCCAGGCTCGAGGCTGGCGCCACCGGCGCCGGGGCGTCGTTTTGTGATGATATGTGATGTCGTGTCTGTTCGTGAGCACGCGGTACGGTACCGCTATCGTTAGGCTACGGCACGCAATATCTATCTCATATCTTAAGAACTCCGTATCAAGTATTTTGCTCCGAAGTGTATCATATCGTGTTTTTGTATTTTGAGGATGAGAGGTCTCGCCAAGATCACGTAACCCTATTCACATAGTCCTCATCACCAAAATAAGAGCCTCAGCACGAGATCTCAGCGTTGCAACACGGGGTGGGCTGGCGGTCTAGAAGTCGGGCAGGCCGTAGACGGTGCCCCAGGTGGCGTGGGTGACGGCCTCCTGTGCGAGGAAGCCAGCGGCGGCGATCATGGCGAGGCGGGCGTGGGCGAGCTCCTTCTCCTGCATGAGCTTGAACTCGTCGGCGGACAGGTCCTTGGAGAAGCCGAGCGGGTCGAAGCCCAGGTCGCCCGGGGTGTAGCCCGGCCGCAGCGCCGTCTCCGCCTTGAGCTTCTCGCCGTCGAGCTCACGGAAGGCGATGTTGATGCGCGCCGCCTCGGCGGCGGCGATGCCGCCGCCCATCACCACCCAGAGCCAGACCGGCAGCTGGGGGATCTGGTCGATAGCCGGGCCGCCGTCGCCCGAGAAGAGCGGGTGGAACTTCTCCTGCACGAGGAAGCCGAGCGACGCGAGCATGCCGACGCGGCCGTGCGTGAGCTCGGCCTCGCGGTAGCGGTTGACCTCGAGCTCGGACTTGCCCTCGAGGAAGCCGGCCGGGTCCCAGTTCAGCTCGGAGCCGCCGAGCGCGTTGAAGTTGCCGGGCAGGCCGTACGCGAAGGCCGGGGCCTTCTTGGGCGCCGACGCCTTGGCGCCGAAGAGCATGGTCGGCTGGACGCGCGACGGGACCTGCGGACGAGAGGGCGGGCGGCGTCGGCGGGGCGGCGCGCGGGCGGGGGAGGTGGGCCGGGCGCGCGCCGACGCGACGCCGTGGAAGGAGGTGGACTGCAGCGAGAGGGAGAGCATGCTTGCGGTTTTCGGAAGTGTCCGAGCGCCTTCCCGAATCTAGGCGCTGATGCGGGGCACGTGACGGGAGGTTTGCGCGACTCTTCCGTGCTCAGAAACGGAGAAGGGAGAAGGCTAGTCTACCTCGGATTCCGGCCCCTCGTTGGGACCGGTCATTTCATATTGGACCGGTCACTTGAGCGGTCACCTTCCGACCGACTCGAAGCGGTCGTTTTCCGAAAGAGGCTCAGGGGGGAGCAGCCTTAATCCCCCCAACCGGTCATTTCCCGACGCCCACGGTGGCGAAGCGGTCACCTTCCGATCAAAAAAGGCGGTAGTGATCTGATCACCCGAATACCACGTTCGGATCGCTCCTCATCGCAAACCCTTGTCAGCAGTTCACCCTCGTCCCTCGGGGGGAGAGAGACTCTCTCTCTCTCTCTCTCTCTCCCTCGGGTGTGTTCGTAAGAGCTACATACACTGGAAAAAACGTTACAAAAGTCTACGTCGCAAGGAAAGCAGCGTCGATACCAAGCAGCGTCGATACCAAGCAGCGTCGATACCCAATGGCGCGAATACCGCGGCCAGGCGGACATCGTCCTCGATAGCTTCGACGGAAAAGTGCCTCTCCATGATCTCATGACCCTGCTAGTCAGGCGGCCAACGGTGTACGACCGAGCGTTGAAAGTACACGGCGTGGCGTAAGCTCGCGGCGTGCTCGGCAGCGTGTTATCATTACATCAAATACCCCGCCCGAGAAGTGGTACCCAGATGGCGACGAGGCGGAATTTGTGGGTGAGATGTTGCGCGACATCATCACATCGTCGGGAGGTGTGACGCGTTTTTTGAGTAGAACTAAAGCTCGTTTTAAGCACTAATACTGGGACAGCCGGTGGGCGGTGCTGCGGGCGGACGCGCTCGACATCTCTCTCGAGCGGTGGCGCGGACATGGGACAGCGGGCGCCGCATCACATTTAGTACCATTCCACTAATTGAGCATTGTGTAGAGTGCACTGTATTACACTCCTCATACTCACCTCTACACTGCACCCGCTTCGCTTGGTGTTCTTACCGGCAGTTCGGTCACACCGGCTCGTCCTATCCCGCCCCACCCACCTCTCGCTACCGTGCTCGCTCGTAGCACGGAGCTCAGCGAAGATCAACGGCCGAGGTCGCACCGCGCGCCTCCGCCGCGAGGAGCTCGGCCTTGGCGCGAGTCTGCAGCGACTGAAAGCGGGCCACGACCGCCCAGAGCGAGTTGGCGAGCACCGGCCGCGACTTGGCCTCGTCGGTCATGTCCTTCGCGATAGACATGAGCCAGCGCACCTCCTTGTTGACCAGCTCCCGCTCCTTGTCGCGCGACTGATATCCCTTGCGCTGCGACGCACGCACGTACTTAATGTCGCCCGTGGCGATGGCGAGGGCCTTCTCGAGCTCGACCTTCTCCCGCTCTATCTACCAGCGCTTGTAGAGAGCGGAGCGAGGTCAGAGGCGGCGACAAAATTTCAACACAACAAGTTCACAGCAGATTTCTCGCGGCCTTCCACAAGTTGGCGCTCTCATCCATCGTCTGTGAGATGCTTGGCGACGGGATGATGCATGCAATCATCAGCATGCTCGGAGGCGGGTCGCTGGAAGGGCCCGCCACCGAGGACGAGCGCGCGTCCCTCTCCACTCTCCTCCAAAGCGAGAGTGCGGCAAGCATCAATGGCGCGAGGTTTCGCGAAATCCTAGCGGTGCACTGCGCGAGGCTTGCGGCGCTGCTCCGCCAGCTTGAGGTGGCTCTGCCTCCCGAGCTCGTCACCGCCATTGTCGAGCGTGCGGCGTCAGTGGAATCCGCCGACTTGACGCTGTGTGGCGGCGGCGGCGGCGGTGATCCTCCGTGTCACGGGCTGCGACGGCATCACCACGCCATACAGTGGGGTGCGGGAGGAGGCAGCACCGCGCTCGTCACTTGCGCTCGCTGCGCCAGAGTCGTGACGGCGAGCTACATTCCGCGCGTCCTGCCAGAGACGGGCGGTGGCTGGTATGCGCTGCGGAAAGTCACCGTCACCGCTGGCGAGGCGTCCTTCAAGCAGTGCCGTCACTTTATGCTTGAGCAGGCTGGCAACGTTGGCGAGCGGTCAACACCGGACCCGTCCTGCGCCGTTCGCCATCGGTACTCGGGGCTGCACTCCTTCCGCACCGTCGTGGCATCTGAGTGGGTCTTGCGCGGCCGAGTCAGCTACGAGGTGGAGCTGGCGCGGCTGTGCTCTCTCTCCGCGCCGCCCGCAGTTGCAGTCGGGTGTGTCACGCCGACGTGCAACGTAAACTCCGACACCGCGTGGGCGCCCGGCTCCCGCTGCTGGGAAGGCGCGTGGGGCTTCTGCGTCGAGGGCACGGGCGCCTCCACCTTTCACGAGATTCGCGCCCTCAGCCAGTCGCAACGTGCCTCGCGTGGCGGCAGGACGAGTGGGGGAGAGTGGGGTGTGTGGGAGGAGCCGGACCTAGAGGTTCGCTCTGGCGACGTGCTCGTCGTGACCATCGACGCGACGCGGCGCGCCCTCGGGCTGCAGATGACGCGGCACGGCGCCGCGGTGGGAACGGCCCGGCTGCTGCCGCTGAACACAGAGCCAGTGGAAGGGGAGGAGGAGCCGCTGGCTCTTGCCGTCGGCCTCAAGTATGCGAACGACAGCATCCGCCTGACGCGTAAAGAGGCAACAGGCAGGGCGGAGCGCGACTGGGAGCCCGGAGCGGCCGGGTGACTTTTCGTCATTAGTGTGCAGTCACCCCCGCCCCCCCCTCTCTCTGCGAGTGCGTGCGTGCTGCGCCCCGTGGGTGTCCCGACTGCGACTCTGGTCTCGCTGTGCGGCCCGCGCAGTCCGACGCGACGTCGGGCGGACTGGAGGAGAGAGAAGGTTACATGTACACAACACATGCACAACGTGCGCCCGCGGCGCGAGAGAGCCCCGAGACCCTCTGCGCGAGTCCGTCAGAGCCGTATACACATATGTGTAAAGCGTAACGGTGCTACGTAAAGCCGTGTGTGTGTAATGCTAATGGGCGTGTGTGGAGAGAGATGGATCCTGGATTGGCATTCATTTTGCACATTGGGATGTATGTGTATGCCACACACACCCCACTCCCCACACGCACACTGCATAGTGCAACACAGTGCTGTGTGAGCTCAGAGGAAAAGGGGGCGGCACAGAGCCACACAGACACACGGACTATGAAGTTGAAGATGGATCCACAGCCACGCACGACGCACGTAAAATCGTCATCTCGCAGCATGTCTTCGCTCGCATTACACAAGCGTATCCGACGCTACTGTATCTCCCCTGTGAGAAGAGTCAGAGAAGAGTGTCTTGGCCGTTTAACCTTCCATGGCCTTGTACGCATCCGCTGCCTCGCCCTGCCCATCAACGACGACCTTCGCCTTCCATTTGTGTCCTCGGCCGGCGCGGAACAAAAAGGCGATGGCCAGCGAGGCGGACGCCACGACGAGGATGACGACGAGGGACCCGGCCTAGTGGACAACCGTGGTGCGCTGAGATGCATGCGCGCCGAGTCAGCTTGAGCCGTGATGAGTGGGACTGCCGCTGATGCGCTCGCGATGGACGTGCCGCGCTCCAGCCCCTGCGCCAGCATCGGCGTCGGCAAGGCGCCGCTGAGGCCGAGCCAACGCTTAATGTGCTGAAGCTCCACATGGCGCGCCTCCCGCACACTCAACGGATCATCCGGGTGCGCAAACATCAGGTCAAGGTGGTGTGCGCCCTCGGGAATGATGACCGCCACCACCGTCTCCGACACGCTCGAGAGGACGCCGATTGCGGACCAGGGGTCGTACAGCCCGTTGGACAAGACAATGTTGGAGGCCTGCTTCAGCGCCTCCATGCCGCCAAGCCAGTCGGCGACCCGGGTGGGATTCGGCTCCACGCCCCACTTCTCGCGACACCTCTTGTGGATGTAGGACATGTTGTACGCTTCGTCGGGGTGGAAAGGCAGGAACATATCGTTCACGCCGTCGCGCGAAAAGTAGGTTTCTTGTGGCATCATCTCGGTGCAAAAGAGGTAGTCCCACAGCCCGTCCTGCTCCGGGTCGTCGTGGACAGCCTGCAGGCTGTAGCATGACTCTTGCTTGGATGCGTTTGTGTACACGGACGCCCCCTGCCCCAGCGCCGTGAGCAGCGCTTCGCCGCTGAGGCTGGGCGTGGCGAGGGCGCCGCCGCACGCCACGCGCCAAGGAAACGTCGGCATGAGTATATCCGGCTTTGGCGTGAGGTAGTTGGAGGGGTAGGGGAAGTTGCCCATTGCCATGTTGTCGAATGCAAAGAGCAGAAAGATGTACAAGTCGTTGATGTCAAAGCTGGTCGAGCAAAGCGAGAGGAGGCGCGCCAGACTCTGCCGCCCCGCAGCCGTCTTTCCCACGCGTATGAGCTCGTCGAAGCCGCGGCGGATGTTTTCTCGGCACGCGGGTGCCGCCCCTGCGTCCGGCGAGGCATCGCGTGTGACCACGCGCCAAAAGCCGCCACCGTCGAGGGGCTCGTCGCCGTCAAAGCCAGCCTGCAGCGTGCATCGGCAGGATGCTTGAGCGTCGGGAACAGGAATGGACGCCGAGAGGGACGCCGAGAGGGACGCCGAGAGGGACGCCGAGAGGGACGCCGTGTTGGGCAGGGACGTCCCGCACGAAAGCTGCGATTGGTGCCGACGCGGCGATGGCGCCGACGACCACGTCCGGGTAGAGCTGCCGCATCCAGCAGGCCAGCATACCGCCGTACGACCCGCCGAAGACGACCACCTTGGCGTCTGCGAGGCCGCTCGCTCGCGTCTTGATGTGCAGCGTCAGGAGCCTCGCGTAGTCGGCGAGCGCTTGCTCCGCGGAAAGAAACCGCAAGCGCCCCGGCGGTTGGCCGTCGCTGAGC